GTTATAATACAATCACTCCATCTCAAATCCATCGAGATGAACCATTTGAAATTATGTTTTTTCATTAAGCGTGTTAGTTAACCAATATTGATTTGGTTATTATGGCTAATTCTTGAAGATTTTTAGTATTTGAGAATTCTGAGTAGATTGAAACATACTGAAAAAAGAATATAAATAAATTTTTCCAATATCACTTGTCGAAAATTTTGATGTTTTTAAGTGAGAAATATTGAAATAATATACTGTAGTTCTTGGGCTTTCACGGCCGGCGTCTATCGATCGAAGAAAACACAGCATCGATAAAAATAATATAATATAATATTCAATTCTACGCTTGAAATTGAAGAAAAAATAAAATCAATATTCCTTAAAGTTCTTGGTGAAAAAGAGACATGGAATCGAAATAGGTACATCTTCTTGAAGTATCCCGAAGGACAAATTTGCATTATGAGAGTGATTTTTCATCTTTCTACCAATAAGGCATTAAACAGGATGATAAGAAATGATGACTTTTGTAACAACAATTGTAATTGAATCAGAAATGCAGTAAAATTAAAAATTTTGCCTAATAGAAATTGTTTCCCAAAACGTTGGAGACGTCATGTTTCCAGTGTTGATGAAGTGAATAACTCCTGTAGGGGAAAGCTGAACATTTTTCATTCTATACAACGAAGAAATATACAATTGAATTCGTTATACCTACATAAGATTAGTAAACTCGGTTGTTAACTATTAGATACCTTTATAAGGTCCTTATCAATACGTTTGATAATTTGCTTATATGGAGCAACTTAATTCAGTTTGGTTTTATGTGATTTATTATTTCTTACAGCGAGCTGATGAAACCTAATAAGTTTGAAATCGTGCTATCCGCGTCTGGAAAACTGCCGACTAAGAACTTATTGTTTTTTATGAGTTTAGACTATATACACTTCAAAAATTAGCATCTATTCCAAATTAGTTTCTTTTCACTGAAAGATCGAAGTTCTTCATCATTTTCAGCGCGATGTTCCTTATCGTAATAGTGGCATTTGTTCGTATCGATTTCTAAAACCATTTACCAAAATTAGTCACCGGTCAATTCGCAACAATATGACAATTAGTCATACACCCAGAACGCTTTTGTTTAAGTTTTAAATGCGACTTGCTAATTAAGCGTGCTATTTCGTATCTTGCATAACACCGCATCGGGAATCGAAACATGACGTTTTTTTTTTTTTCATTTGACTTCTGACAGTATGTATTAGCCAAAGAACATAAAAGTGGCGTTAAATACGGCGGCCACCATAAGTCATTAAGTGGTTAGCAAACAACGACAGAAAGCGTAAGGTTTTCTTCTAATGGCTTTATTTTACGATGTTTAAAAATGTTATACTTACATGCTATACTAGATAGGCAATACCTATAGGTATATGAATGTAGTTGTACGAAAGAAACCTTCAATTATTTAGGACAGTTTTTTTTTGCGTGGCTATCCGAAAAATTAACCCATTGTACAACTTGACACAAATAGTTGAGACAATTGTTACCTTTTGCACATTTTCCTAATGATAAAGTGAATGGATTGTCATACATTATACAAAAATGCTAGAAACAGCGAAAGTTTTTATGGTATTTCGCAAGCTTTAAAAAAATTATATAAACACCTGAACAATGCACAATGTACCCAGGTATAAAGTTATAGAAATTTCTGTTCAAAACCTTCAACCAATTACTAACATTTGCCATACGATTTTTATAATTAAATCGTACTTTATATTATTACTACCTATTTAAAGTTAATAAAACTATCTGGAGAAAACGTTTCTGGTTACAATTAATGGAAATCTTAAAATCACGTAATCATTTAATTGCTTAGATATAGAGCTAACTACAAAAGTTGCTGGTTCACAGTGGGCTAACAATTGGAAGAGAAACTACACAAAAATAATTACAAACAAATAGGTTCATAGTTATAAAATACCACAGCTTTTATATAGTAGAGATGCCACCCTCACTAACGTCCCAAACCACATTAAATTCCATTCAAAAATTCATTTAAACACTAAACCAATGAAATTTTAATTTTTGGTTGGCGGATTTTCAACGAAAACGTTGAGTTGAAGCCATCGAAACACTAAATTTCTGTAAAGTGACAAAATCATACCATAGTATAGCAATCAATAAATCATACAAATTAGGACATACAACATATCCCAACACAATCTTAATTACCAATTTTCATGAGGTAGTTTTTTGTTATATTGTTATTGCTAATGTTTGTTTGTTTTTTTCCCGACACTACCGGGTACCCGGTGTCATTATCCGATATCCGGATCGACCGGGTACCAGATCGAAAGCGGGTACCCAACCCATCTCTGATGTAATGTACATCGGTATTTAGGTATCTTTGCATGTATATGTATGAATATATATGAACGTGGACAACTATTTCGAGAGAGTAAAAAATCAATGAAAAAATAGACATCATGAGCTCCGTCATGCCAGTTAATGATCACGATCATAGTAGTCAGCCGTGCCGTCGATCAAGAGAGCTGTGGGGTCATAATCTTGTTTGGGCGATCGGCCAAATCACAGAAAGGGAAGGGAATCTTTGGCGGCATCCCCTGCCGCGATCATTACGCATATGAGGATGTCAAGACGCCGTGGGACACCATCTAACCCACTTATCTCTAATGAAAATAGACGACACCATTCGCAAAACGGCACAAGACAACGAATATCTATCAGGAGACTAGATCAAAACTTTTAATAGATCGTTAGTTACCGTCGTCGTACAACTAAATTTAAAAAACTGCTCGTATCAAGTGCGATCCGGACTCCTGTCCTGACGGTTACGTACCTTATAAAACCCTAAAAAGTGTGTAAATAATAAGCGGTCTCAATTTTGATCAACTCGGCGATCAATAACAATCAATCATTCTTTATTTTAAAACTAGCTTTCCCCCGTTCGCAGAAATTAATATCGTTTCTCCATAAAACCTTTTAACTTCCTATTCACCCTTACAACGTTTTAATTTTATGTAATATCGCCATCTTAGATTTCAAATACAAACGTAACAACATCTTTAAGGGTTGATTTTTAAAAATTGCCAAAACACGTATTTGTTTAATTTCAACAATGAGCAACCTTCAAGTAAATCCAAGTACTAATAAAATATACCCCATGGAAACGTTGCAACCTCTTTTCATTTGATTAATAATATCAATCAGCATATATACCAAAATGTCGAGATAGGTCTTTCAGAAATTAAAAATGAGAGACCATTAAGACTAAGTTTCAATTAAATCTGGCCACAAATAATATATGTTCCATTTAAACACTGCAACTCTTTTTCACCACTCCTCCCTCCATGAGAACGAGATAAAAGGTATCCTATATCCGTCTCCTGGTTCTAAGGAACTCCCTACCAATTTTCAGCCAAATCGGTTCAGCAGTTCTTGAATTATAAATAGTGTAACTAGCACGACTTCCTTTTATATATATATAGAGTAAAATATTTTCGTTAGTAATAAAATGACTGTAATATCTAAACTACTTTGCTGATTGCAAAATACCACAAATGGCGCGGTAGACGCCATCTGTAGTACGATGCTACATTTTAGGATTACGTATGCTCGTACTACAGATGGCGTTTACTGCGCCATTTGTGGTATTTTCTAAAACGCGCTGTTAAGACAGCAGGTAAAAGTTGGCCTGTGGTCTGTCGGAGCTGCCTGCGACGCGCTGATGAGATCCAAAAAAATCGCGATCCACGTCTAGCAGTTTCGACAGAATACTGACTACTTTGAATTATTTTATTTATACTTTGCTGATCATAATGATCTTCGATTAATTAAATTTTAAACTATTTTATTGTTAGAATTATTTTCTGCACCCAATCAACAACTGGTTTCTAATCGTTATATTTCGTTCCCGTTATTTACTTAACATAGTTTGTCCAGGTGTGAAAAAGGAGCAAGAAAATTCGCAATAAAAAAGCACGTTCGTCTTTATGCGAACCGCATTAAGGGAATTTCACAATTGGAGAAGTCACTTGTGTTTACCAACTAGCAAGTCATTCGAAAAAGGGGGAGATAAGTTTCAGTCGGATATCCTGTGGCGGAACGAGGGGGGTGATAAGTATAATTACTTTACCTTCACGTTACCTACCATATTATAAAACGTGACGTCGCCTAGCAAACAAAAATATTAATTTGAATAAATATTGGTTCAAGCTCTTTTGTGTGAGTAATAAGGTCGATCTGCTAACCTATTTTAAAACGAAATTCTCAGTACTTTGTTGATGGGACCTCTATTATATTTTTACAAATGTTTGAATAATAAATGAAAAGTTTCCGACATCTTTCGAATCGGGAGGCATTTGTGAGATAATTATAACAAAAAGTTTGACCACAAATTTTGATTTATAATTATTCTTACATTTAGTTACCCTAATTTGGCGACGGCTCGAGCCTTCAAAAATGTTGGAATTACGTACAGTGAGCCCTCAAATATCCCTCAAAATATGAGCCAGGGAATATATCGTCGATAAATGACCAAAACGGTGCTTTTTCTTCCGACTTGATTGGCAAATATTAAGGTTTTAAACTGAAAATTTACTTTTTTTATATAAAAACAAAATATAGCTTATATTACTCAAGAATAAGGTGCCTTTCTATTATTGGAAGAGTGATTAAAATCGGCTCAGTAGTTCAAGAAATTACCCCTACATTTTATCTTCAGTAGATTTTACCCCCATTGATATCTTAAATACGTGTCAAAGATCACTTAAAACTAATTTCTCTATCTCTCGGGAACAGCATCTTTTCTCTGGATAAAAACTACCCCTATATTTTTTTTTGTACCCCTAACAATGTGTATATAAAATTTCATGATAATCTGTTAAGTAGTTAAGGTGTAAAATGGCAAATAATCAAACTCCGTTCGTATTTATAATACTATTTAAAAAGTTAGGATTAATGTAGATAATTAATAATGGGTCTTATTTTTGTTTCAGGTTACTAAGCGACAACGACAAAAAGCCTTTTGTTGAAGAAGCGGATCGTTTAAGGATAATCCATAAGCGAAAACATCCTGACTACAAGTACCAACCTCGCCGACGAAAACAAAAAGGACCGAACGATTCTATCCATCAACTCCCTCACGGTTCGAACGTCACCTTCAGTCGATCGCTCAAACAAGAGGAGTCTTCTCCTTGCAGTCCGCGAAGGCACAGTTCGACGTCTCCTTCTTCATGCTCCTCTCAACCTCACAGTCCCTCAATCACACCGCACACCTTCAAACAATGCACAGACGTCTCGAACAATAGTATCGACTTCAATCGGCTACCAGAATTTGACAACACATACATTACCGAAGATTGTTTAGACAGTAACGACCTGGACCAGTATTTACCAGTCGAACACGGTTACCAACAGAACATTTACCATGACAGTTACGTAATTAGACGCGTGTCAGAAGATGACGAAAGTAACAACAATAACTACAAAAGCAAAAGGGTTACGAGTGACAATTTTCTACAAAACGGGGAAGAGCATTCTGATGAAATTACATCTATACCATTTGTTCGTTACCATGAATTGCAACCGAGCTCATCCGGTGTCAAGACTGAAAGGTACCCATCGCCCAATACAACTACCAACGTGTTTACTTACCAGTCCAGTATGCCGATAGCGTCACCTACCGGTTATTACACTAATGGTAGTCATCAGTATTTACCCTCCTACCAATATTTACCCCAACGTCCCTCCACGTTCGGGAACCACACCGTTGGTAGCTATACCATTAGTGGAAACGCATCTTCCGAACCATGGAGCCACTGGAACGTTCCCGGTGAAATATAATGAAAAATCTAGTTGAAGTTTTGTACCAGTTAATCTTTATGTTGTTATGTTTAGAATAAGATTTTGTACAGTAGATTTAGTAAAATATTTTATTCGTTTAATAGTTTTAAGATTACTTCGTTTTTTGTTAAACAGTTCTCTCAACTACACTTAGTAAATTTACATGTCATCCCTTCAGTTGTACATTTTTTATTTTGTAACAAGTTATTATATTTTTTTTGTAGACAACAATGAAATAAACAATAGTAGTATTTACTTATAGTTTTTATTTTTGTATTACTTTTCAGATACATTCCACAAATTTTATGTTCTGCCGATAGGAAGTCGTTTAATTTAACAAGTTGCTCTTGAATTTTAACTTCCTATCCTATATGAAGTATCTCCAATTATTCTTGAACTGATTCGATATTATTGTTAAAAAATAACTAAAAATACCTAAAGAAATCGGAGATCACACATATTTAAATTAAGAGAAAGATTATGGAAAATTTAAAACAATTAAAATACTGAATAATTCTATCTGAATTATTTGGATAGTATGAACTTGTATTATGAAGTCTTCTATTATCAATCATCATAAGGTCGTCAGTCCTAAGACTGATTGGACTCGCACCTCTACTGTTTCCTATCCTGAGCTAATCTTCGCATATCCCAAAACTAGAACAACCTACATCCTTAACTATTTGCGAACAGTAATCTAATCTATATCTACCTCTTCTCCTCTTAACTCCTGTTTCTGCTTCTAATATGTCTCTGACTAAACCTTCATGCCTGAGAAGATGTCCTACCAACCTATCTCGCCTATTTTTTATTGACTTCCGTAGAGTTCTGTGTTCTCTTATTCTTTCTAATACCTCTTCATTTCTAACTTTTTCTATCCACGCTATCATCATCGTTCGCCTGTAACACCACATTTGGAACGCTTCTAACCTTTTCTTTTCCACCGCGCCCACCGTCTATGTTTCGCACCCGTATACATCTTTAACAATCCTGACTTATCTGACTTCCTAGATACCTAAAATCAACCACCTCTTCTAATTTTTCGTCTCCTATCTTTGAATTCGCTCTTTCCCTACTTTTTCTTCCCTTTCATACCAGGAATTTTTATTTACTTTTATTTATTCTGCGAGCAATGTCAACTTGATGTATTATTATTATTTCACATAGAAACGAAAATTTCTTAGAATATATATCGCCATCAGTAAACAGATTATAAAACAATTCCTTCTTCTAACGGGTTCAGCCATCGAAAATTATTAGTTTTGTTATGCATTTTTAATTTGTCGTTCAAGCAGCAGCCACTTGTTTTTTTAATGCCGCTATAAAAAAGGGTCAAGAGGCTTCCAACTATTCGACTTGAAGTAATGACATTCAACAGATGCGATAGCATTTTTATAACAGCTTAAAGAGCTATTGCTTACTGTTCTAGATGCATTTTTACTGCATCAAATTTTATTTGGAACAAAAACGGCCTGCCACATAAAATTTATATCAATCAAATTCAATACTGATAACTTACAGAATTGGTAGAACACGACAAACAGGACGAATGACGAAGATATAGGTTTGATGTATTGAACCGTTACAAAATATGGGGATGATTTATTTATTTCGTAATAGCTTGAAAACTACGCGGCATGCAGCACGTTTGCAAACAGGCGCTTCATAAAATGGACCTACGCCATATTGTGAAGGTAATTACACAATGAGTTGACCCTACATGGGAATTTGAGTGTAAATCTTTATTTGAAATCCATTGAAATATAGGGTAATTATTTCATGGAGAGTTGCTAAATACAAAGGAGGGTTAATATCGTATTACGTGAAGGGATGAAAGGGGATCAACGATTTTTGTATTTATTGAAAATTGAATCGCTATTGGAAAATAAAAAAAAAATTTTTAATTATTGTGCGTAAGGTATTGGTTAGGGGAGGGAAGAAGATCAAGACCATGCATAACAGTCTCATTAGGATAGGGGAGGGAGTCAAAAATTGATGACTGTATTACTAATTTATGGAAAAATGCTAGAAATTAGTAAATTTTAAAATAACTACTTACTAATTAATAACCAGAGTAAAGTAACGCCCAGTACTAAATATTTTCCCTGTCCTCACCCCTGTTGTAATACTGTGTAGGATGACGTATTTACTTACTACACGCAACGTAATTATATAACAACAATTAAATATGTAAAGGCATCTAAATATATGGCCAAATGCTATAGACCTACTTGCTTATACGTATAGATATTAAGTTGCCTTGCAGGGTGCGGTGTGACACCAGAGAAAACGAGACTGTCTTATCAAGTCGCTGTTGACTTATTAACTGCCCCTTTTTATTTGTGCATTATCACATGGGAAATAATAATAAAGTGACAATCCCACAGAACCAGCTTTGCATAAGCCTGTATTTTAGTTGTTGTTGCAGAGCGGCGAACTCCACTTTGCTTACAAATACAAACAAATGAATGTTTTCCTTTTTCAAAAAAAAAAAAAGCTACATGGGAATGAAACGAAAACGCATTTTATTTTATTGTATGAACGTTTGTTTCATCAGAAGATGCAAATATATGTACTTGGGTATACGTTTGCACAAAAAGTAAATATTTTTTTATACCAAATCAGCTATTTTATTGGATGAAGACATGTTAGAAAGCTTTTTTAACCCTCTTAGGTTCTTTGGTTTACATTCATATAATTCATGCGATAGAAACGAGTTCCTATATCAATTTTAATGCCTTCGCTACACAACAAAAACTTTTAGGTTTATTTCCACAATTTAACTGCCGAATAAATTTTTATTATCCCGGATAATATTTTAAATATTCCAGCAGTGATCTAATCGCCGTTTACATACGATTAATCTAATCGAACGGAGCTGATCATTTATCTTAAAATTTGGTACTAAAAACGACTAACATCGTAAATCTTGTCAGTTTCGGTTTTAGAACTGTCATAAATTTAACTACCACATAAAAAGTCCGTGTAGAAAGGGTTAAGGTTCACTAGAACTTAGGGGTTTATGATGATGCTTACGTTGTAATTTTTTTGCCACATACGTAGATCTTGAGTATTGATAAAGTGAAAAATATTTGTAATTTTTTCAAATACCACAATATGTATACACGTAGTTGTAGTATCACTAGATTTTACCAGCGGCGTCACTCGTGTTGATGTCTTAAAAAGGCGTGAAAAATCATCAACGACCACATAAACCTAATTTTTCTATCCTTCGGGAACAGTATTTTTTCTTTTTTTGATAAAAGGTACCCAAACAATATAAAGAAAATTGTACATAAGTTCGTCAGTCCTAAGACTGGTTGGACACGCACCTCCACTCCTTCCTATCCTGAGCTAATCTTCGCATTTCCCTAAAACTATAACAATCCATATCCTTTACTATTTGCGAACAATAATCTTATCTTGGTCTACCTCTACCCCTCCTAACTTCCGTGTCTGCCTCTAATACAGTCAAAATCTGTTATAACGACACCGAAGGGACTACTCATATTTGGTCGTAAAAACCGATAGTCGTAATAGCCAGTAACGTTGTTATTAAGTACTTAATACCTATTATTGAATGTGTGATTAATATATTCATATATAAAAAAAAACTATATTTTATTTATTTTACATAAAACGTATTATAAAAAGACATTACATATATATAATTAGGTATCATTTTTCTATATTAATAAAACCTGGAATTTTAGTCTGTTTGAAACACTTCTGTCGTGCGTGCAGACTTTGTAGTTCACATTTAATTTTAATTAATGTATCATCATAATTTTCCTACATATGAAACTGTTCATTAGAATAAAAAACAATTTTTCGTAATACACTGACAGCATTGAGACCATCATTCAAAGTTGGCACTGTAAATTGGTCTTCAGTCTCTTCCTGTTCGTCATTTTCCTCTTGAACTTCTTGTACAATATAATCTTCCGTAGCTGGTGCACAAATTGCAATAGAGTTATCTGCATCAATAAACACCTTAGCTTCAGTAGCAGATATTCTGAGAATTACAGTAGATCCTAAACTAATGGTCATTTGCTGTACCAGATGTGGATACTGTTACCTATTCAAATGTTTACAATACAGCTGGTCGTTCTAACAGATATAATTTTCCGAAAATGTCAGTTAAATGTAGTCGCTTAAAGAGATATGTCGCAATGAGCAATGTCGTAAAAACCAGTGTTTTTTATAACAGAATAAGCCGGCCTATGATTTTGATCAATATAACCGGTATGTTGTTCTAAACGATGTCGTAGTAAACGGTTTTGACTGTATATCTCTGACTAGATCTTCATGCCCGAGAAGGTGTGCTACTAACCAATCTCACCTATTTCTTATTGACTTCCACAGAGTCCTGTGTTCTATACTTTCTAATACCTCCCGCGTTCCCCTATTTCTTCTAAACCCAAATTGATCTTCCCTTAATAGTTCTTCCAAACAAAACTGCGTAAAAATTTAATCCGAATAATTTTTCCCACTCACCCGCCCATATTGCCTGGACTGTTCGTCCAGTCAAAAGTTTAAACTCAAGCCCGCGTCTTCCGTTCTGTAACAGATCGTGATCGTCGTCATCTCTCATCGTTCCCGTAAGCCTAGAGAGACAGTGTCGGGCCTGTTTTCAGCCAATGTCGCGTGCAAATTGCACTGCTTTGATGATAACTGGTCGAGGCTAATTGCGCTTCTTGATTTGTCGTCGACCGTTTTTGCTGTTACTTCTGATGCTTGTATTAGAAGTAATACGGTCGCTTGTGGTTATTCTTCACGGTTTATAGACCCACCGACTATTTATCACCACATCAACACTTTCCTTTTTCGCCTTCTGTTTAAATACGGCACGGACTACTGGCCTTTAAAAGTTCTACAGGTTCAACCAACGAAAACATTTCAATTGTAAAATATCTGCTTTTTTGACTTGACAACGTTTTATAATTCGATGGAGTTACCTCGCTCTGAGGCGTTCCATTTAAGGCTTGAAGTGCAAGCGAGAGCGCGGAACGAGCGACAAAGAGGCACAATCGGCCACCGCGTTCGGCAGCGTTCGACATCTGTCTCTCTCCTACTTGAGTGAGCGATGCGTCCGCGTGGACAGCTGCTATA